GAAGCTGCCCCTCGCTGAACTGTAGAGCATGGCAGCTGGTATGGGCCACAGCAGTACTGGCCTCAGTCAAGGCTGAGGCAGGTTGTGCTGCTACACAGCCACACCTGTAAGGGCCTACCCACGGGCTCTAGTTTTGTATGACAGCTGATCTGTGGGCTGCTCTCAAAAAGAGTCATCTTGCTCTTCCCACCCTCCCTGGTCACGCACTCCTACTACTTTCCTCACACCAGATACAGAGGCCGTGTGGCTACGCGGCGAACGGAGTCGGCAAGTTGCTCCAATGGAAAACCAACTCGCAAAAAAAAAAAAAAAAAGTGGTTTCCCCTCAGATCAACTTGCTAAACCAATTCATCTCACGGCCATATAATTGCTAAGTTCACTTCACAGAGGGGGTGGGGAACGCACAGCAGCTTGTAGGGCCAGCTGGAGCGGGACCAAGACATTCAGCATGCAGGCACAACTCGGGGGAATTAGATGAAAAACATAAATGCCCCCAAACTATTAGTTAAGCATTATTATGAATGCAGTCATGTATTTGCTTAAGTGCTTGGAGATTTCCCAAATGCGTTTTTAAAAATTTTTTTTTTAATACCCCACAGAAGTCTTGCTAAATTCGGGTAAGACCCTTTGTAGAGAGTCAAGAGCTGGATTTCTGGCTAGCTTCAAAATACACGTTTCTGAATTGGGACAAAAAGAAGCATGTTGAGCTTATTACAGAATGAAAAACGGTTTAGATAATTTTCTTAATTTTAGGATGGCCGTTTGGAGTCAGGCTGATGGTCCATCTAAACGGTTACCCTCGTTCTGATAATGTATGAACACAATAGCACCTGTTTTTACATGAGTTTAGTCCATCAGCACAATTTAAACAGTTTAAATGTTTTAGTTATTTCACCTTGACTCAGCCAGCTCTACCTTCATTTAAAACAAAAAAGGGGACCTCTTCTGTTCAGCCCTCTTGGCTTTCTTTTACTCCATAAATAAAAAAATGAGTTGATGTTTTCTCTTGATGTCATGCAGTAAAAGAACATGATAAAATCCCTTTCCGTACGTGTATTTCCTCAAAGAAACTCTAGCAACCACGTAGTTAGCTCTGTTCCTAGCACTGCTGAGTGCAACAGTCAAGATGTGTTTAATTAAATCACTTGACGGTAGATTTTTTTTTACAGCGGTCGGCACGTAACTCCAAATTCGCTAGTCATTTTTGGGCGATTACCGCCGGTTGCGCTTGGTAGCATCAGGTCAGACCCTGGGCTGCTTCCCACCGGTCCAGCGGCGGAGGAGACCACAGCCCTGCCCTGGCAGCAGGGGAGAGCCTCGCTTGGGTGACGCACCGGGCAGCACCCTGCTCTCGGGCAGAGGTTGTGCTGGGAAGGGGCCGCTGGCAATCCCCAGCCTGCCTAATTGCCTTTTGGCACTTGGTAACGTGTCAGCACAAAGCAGAGCCGCTTGAGAATGGCCTCCAGCCGCTCCAGGGCAGTCCCACGCTAAGTAGAGTCCAGAAAGGCATAGGACCAAGGTCTAATAAGACAGGATTAGTGACAGAAATGTTTTTATATGTGTGCTTAGTTGATCAAAACAGGGTTTCATTAGCAGCAGTCACTGTAATGTTTGCTGCTTGATAAGATTGAAAGTTTTATGTATGGATTTAGTATGTTTGTTTTTTAAGGTCAGAAGAGTATCAGTACATTCTCCAAGATTGCACAGGCTGTATTGTATTCATCCTGCACTGTGCTTTATTTATGTGTCTTCAGAAAGGCATCGGACTTTTCTGTTTAGGGAAGTTTCGGAGTTCGGTGCATCTTCTAAGCAGGTCGCAAGTTAGTGTTACTCATTTCGTGTATGAACATCATAAAAGAAACTTCATGGAGCTGAAAACTAGCCTCCAGGGTGTTTGTGAGTTGGTTGTTCTTTCTTTTTCTTTCCCACCTTCTTCTGGAACAGTCAAACAGTGCCTGGCCTGAGTCGCCTTTCGGGGCAGAGGTTTGGTATTGACCCTATTAACACATGCAAAATGCCTCCAGCTTGCCGGCATATGTATTACTTGCCTTGTCAGTAAGGGATGAAGTAATAGCGAGGCGCGGGTCCGCAAAGTTGCAATCCAGTCTTCCTTGTGTAAAGGGACCATCGGCTTCCAGGGAAGCCCGGGTGCCACAGGCAACTGGGATGGCAAAGGGAGGGTGAGCCCTAACACAAATTCTCTAGTGGTGTCATGTCTTCTCCACGCGTTCCAGCACACGCTATGGACACACGCTGAATAATCAGCAACAGCAGGAAGTTGCTTGGTCAAGACTTAACGTTTTTTTTAAGATAATTTTCTCCAGCACTCTTGCCTATACTGTTAAAGCAACTGATGTCTGCCTCCAAACTCCTGGATGATAAGAAGTCGGTGTTGGCAGATCGTGCCTAGCTGGAGCTGTCTGCATCCGAGTCATTCTGCAAGCGTACCTGTGAGGCTGTTTCATGATGTTAGCTGCTAGCTGGCAGCATTTATCCCTTGTTAAGTTCAGTACAGGCTGCGCAAATTGTGTGCGTTCACTGGGATGCAAATTGGACGACTTGCGCTGAGGTTCCTCCTCTTGCGTTCGCCTCGTTTGAGAGAGAGTTGCTGTTTCCACACCATCACTGGACATGTTCATCGTCCACTGTGCCTGCAAGGCTACATCCCGTATGGTTTTGTCCTTTAATAAGCGAAACAATTCTAGGAATCTTTCTTGCCTCTTATCCCTGAACGCACCAGGGAAGTGTAACGATGATATAAATAGCACAGCATCCAAGGAGCAGAGTTACTCCTCCAGTGGAGCTGGTCCACGTCTGCTTTCTAGGGTGTTTGTTTTCTTTTGGTAGCTGTTGAGTTGTGCCATATCCTTGTCTTCCCATGTACTGTCTGATGTACAGCCAACTCAAATTAAAAGAAGAGCCAGTCTTGAGTTAAGAGCTTTTGTGGGTGGGTGTGACTTGACAGAGAGACAACAATTGAGTTAATAACAACTCAAGTTAATTATCAATGAGGAAAAGCCCGAAACGTGTTCTTTAGATTTAGGGGAAAACTGTACTTGGCAAAGTATCGCAGAGGACTAACCTTTTTCTAGCCAGGTGGATGGCAGCACGAAAACCTTAGACTCGTCTTAGAGTGAGAAACCCAGAGACTTGCCAAATTTCAGGCCACCGATCAAAAGGGTATAAATAGGCTTTCCCTGGAGCTTGACATACGCTTAAGGTTTCTGTTCGTTTGTAATTGCCCTTGCTAATAGGCATTTAATTAATTTTTAGGCTCTCCCCTGTACCCCACAACTAATTTGGCTCCCTTTGCCTCCGCAGTCTTTCCTTTGCCATTTCCCCTTTCCGCCCGCGAGCAGCTGACCCCGCGTTGGCTTCGCGCTCGTCACAGTCTCCACGACACCCCCCTGCCCGCCTCCGCGCTGCGCCCGGGCTCGTCCCCACACCAGTCACACTCGCTTCCTGCCCACGCACTCAGTCACCCTCTCCGCAGCTTCCCTTGCTGTCCCCTGCGCGGCTGCGCCCACAAAGACCCCCTCTCTTCTGACGCCGCTTGCCCACGTCAGCCGCGTTCGCCAGGATCCCGCCCGGGGCCCCCCCCCGCCAGCCCGCTCGCCGCAGGGCAGCGCCCGCTTTACCGGGGGGCTTGTCGGGCCACGGGTCACCTGAGCAAAGCAGCAAAATGTTACGAACCAAAAAAAGTCTCTTTAGGAAGAATTCAGGAGTTGGGAATGGTTTGAAAGTGGAAAGTGTCGGCGTGCTCTGTAATGAATGCCCCAGATGTTAAAAGATCCAAATTCTCGAGCTGAAAATCTTGGTAAATCTTGCCAGCTTTTTAAGAGGAACAGAGCAAATCCACATGAGGAAAGCTAAACGTCCTGATTGTACCATGACTTCAGCTTTTACCTTTGGAAAGCCCTTTGTTCTTTCGTTCCTCATGCAAATGCTTCTTGCTGTTTATGCTGAAATTTTTATGTTAACCTAAAGGACACCCCCTTTCTCGAGCTGAAAATCTTGGTAAATCTTGCCAGCTTTTTAAGAGGAACAGAGCAAATCCACATGAGGAAAGCTAAACGTCCTGATTGTACCATGACTTCAGCTTTTACCTTTGGAAAGCCCTTTGTTCTTTCGTTCCTCATGCAAATGCTTCTTGCTGTTTATGCTGAAATTTTTATGTTAACCTAAAGGACACCCCCTTTTCAAGTTATTTAAAAATGAAGAGGAAAATTGCTAAGTAGAGACACAAAATATGCTGAGTTCTTTTTTTGTGCTATAAACAGAAACTGCTAAAAAATG